GGTGCATTAGTTGGTACCGTTGTCGGCACTGTTGGTGGTCTTGCCAATGGTGTATTGGGTACTGGTAGTTGTGGTTGTAATTAAAAAATTCAATTTTAAAACACTTAAATAAACTATACTATTTATTATACAAACAAATGTAAATATTATTTTTATTATGTTAATAATTTAAAAAGATTCTAATTTATTAAAAATAATATTTACACTATAAAATTTATTAAAAATATATTTCTTTCCTATTTTAACTTTTAAACTTTATCTATAAAATATAAAAAAACTACACATCTTATGTTTTAAATATAATAAATAAATATTTTTTATTTTAATTTTTTTATACAAATATTTTTATATAATAAATTATTTATGCTATATTTTAGTTACAGCCACAGCCCCCAGTACCTAATAAACCATTGACAAGACCACCAACAGTTCCAACAACAGTACCAACTAATGCACCAGTAGTAACTAAAAGACCACCAACAAGATTTGGAACAAGGCCACCATTACCACAACCGCCACCACACTGTACATTATTAGAGCTTTGTGATGATGATGAGGAACCGTAAGAAGTAACAGCAGTTGATTTTTTAATTGATGAAGTATTACCTAATGATGAAATTGATGCTTTTTATATTTTTAAATAAAAATATTAAAAAATTAATTTAAAATCAAAAATAATTATAGAATAATAAAAAAAAATATAATTACCAAAAAGTGTCATTTTAATTTTATAGAGTTTGGTTTTAATTTGATAAAAAAAAAAAAAATATTTTTTCTTTTTATACAATTTTTTTTAAAATATTCTTTATAAAAAAAAATATCAAATATTTAATCACCGAAATATCACAACGCAACTATTTCAAATAAAATTGATTAAAGAAAAAAAATTAAAAGTTATTTTACAGATATGTGTTTTTTTTGTTAACACCTTTTTTTATAACCCATTTCCTTTTTTTTATTTTTTTTTATCTATTGAATCTATCAAATCTTTTTATATATTAATGATATATATATAATCGATCACCTTTTATGTTACATGAAAATATATAATTTAACTTACTATATTTAATCACAATCTAATTTAACTTTCAAAGTTTTATTTTTTTATTTTTTTTTTAAAAAAAGTGATGATGATTTTTTTAATGTAAAAAAAAAAGTATTTAAAGAATATTTTTTAAAATTAACTAAACAAATATTTAAAACATATAAAAATGACACTCTTTGGTAAGAGTTAATAAAGAAATTATAAAAACTTATAAAATATATTAATTTTTTTTTTTTTATTAATTTTAGCATCAATTTCATCATTAGGTAATACCTCATCAATTAAAAAATCAACCGCTATTACTTCCTATAACCCATCATCATTACAAAGCTCTAATAATGTACAGTGTGGTGGCGGTTGTGGTAATGGTGGCCTTGTTCCAAATCTTGTTGGTGGTCTTTTAGTTACTACTGGTGCATTGGTTGGTACTGTTGTCGGCACTGTTGGTGGTCTTGTCAATGGTTTATTAGGTACTGGGGGCTGTGGATGTAATTAAATAAATTCTTGGATATATTGATATTTAAATTGTAATAAAGTTTATAAAAAAATTTATTTATTTGCAAAAAAATCATGAGATTTTTATTTTTATTAATACATTTTTTTTTATTATTTTTTAAAAAAAATTTTTCCTAATTTTTAAATAAAAAGGTTTTTTTTATTGTAAAAAAATCTTGGGGTGGAAAGAAAATATAACGATAGGAAAAAGAAGGAAAAAAAAAAACGAAACTAAATTTTTTTTTTGAACAACCATTTAAATTTTTTTTTTTTTATTTATTTTTTCTTTATACACGGTACACATATATTTTTAAAAAATGTTTATTAAAATTGTTACTTTTTTAGTTTTAGTATTTTCAATTATATCACTTGCAAAAGCTGGTAAAAGTGAATGTCCATCTTCACCATTTGTTCAAGTCCCACCAGTAAGTATTTTTTTCTTTTTTATTTTAAAATATTATTAATTAAAAATTAATAATAAATTTTTTTATTTAATGCGTAGTCCGATTTAATTCAACCAAAAGATTTATCAACATCAGATCTCATATTCCATGAAAATAATATGAGAATTGCTTTGAATCTTGCTATTTCTGTTAATGGTAGATTTGGTGCTGCTATTATTAATAGAAATGGTACCTTATTATGCACAGCTATGAATAATGGAACAGTTTCAAAGATTTTACATGCAGAAATAAATGCTATTTTAAATTGCACAGATATTATGGCAGCAAGAGGTATTAAACAATCATCATGGGAAGGTTATTATTTATATGTTACAGGAGAAGTAGGTTAAATATTATTATTATTTTTTTTTAAAAATACTAATACTTTTCTATTTATTTATAGCCATGTCCAATGTGTACCTCTGCTTTAATTTGGTCTAAATTTGATGCCGTTATCTTTGGTACCTATGTTGATACTTTGTACTGTGGTAAATGTAATTCACAACTTCCAATTACATCAAACTATATTAACGGTTTCTCATATGGTGTTGGATCTAAACTTAAAATTGTTGGTGGTATTTTAGAATCCGAAACCGATAAACTCTTTATTAACGCCTGTGGACTAAACAATGCCACTCAATACATACAACCAATTTGTAATGCAGGATGGTCACAATCATGTCCAAGACAATCAAGGGTATTTGGTGATAAATTCTAAAATAAATACAAAGAAAACAAAGATTAGAGTATATGTTTTTAAAATCTTTTTATTTTTAAATTTTTATTGTTATATTTTTTTTTTTTAAATAATTGGCTTATTATTCTACCAATTTATCTAACTCGGCTTCTAAGAAATCTGCAATATCGTCCTCAAATAAATCCTCCCCTTTATTTGAATCTGGTGAGCTAGGAATACTATCGTCGCCATTTACACTACTTGAATTGCTTTTGCTTTCACTGCTGCTACTGACACTACTGCTACTACTATTACTACTCATACTACTGACACTGCTGTTACTGCTTAAAGATTCTCTTTTTCTTTTTTTTAAAACTTTACTATTATTATTAACATTTACAAAACTGTTTGATTGATTCCCATCACCATTGGTAGTATGACTATTTTGATTACTATTATTACTATTATTATCTACATCGTTTTCACCTGCCTCTTCATTAAAATCATCATCTTCATCATCATTTTCATAATCACTTGAATTGGCACTAACATTACTACTACTACCTTGACTATCTAAATCACTTTCTCCATCTAGAAAATCCTCTAATTCTTTTTCTGCATCATCGTCGAATGCCTCCATTACACCTTCATTTAAAAGATTTTCTGCGGCTTTTTCTAATGTTGCTTTAACTTCATCTTCTTTTGGTTGCTGCTGTTCACCATCATCATCTTCTAATTTAAAATCATTTTCATCAGCACGTTGCCAAATTCTAGTGGACTCCACAAGCCATTGTGGCGAGACTACTTTCAAACCTTTGGATATGGCTTTGTTAACTTTTGATGTACCTTTACGCTGAGCTATAACATGAGTAGTTTTGGATGTAATATCGTTCTCTACTGAAGCACCAAATTCCTCTGCTAAATATCTTAATGGTTGTTTATTTACTGGAGTGCCTAACGGGTAAACACCACTAAAAACTATGAATTGATCCTTTAATATTTCTTTTTTGACTATGTCTACCATTTGAATAACATGAGGCTTTTCATTTTTATCTTTTGATTTATAATATAAGTCATGAATCTTTGTTAACTTATCTAATACAATTAATAGATGACAATCTGCCTCTTCATTCTTTTGAAATGACTCTTTATCAATAATTTTATCATTACTTGTAGTTGTACTTTTAATGCTACTCAAATCATCTGTATCAATAGTGGTTGAGGTTGATGTTGATGTGGTTGCGGTTGTGGTTGCGGTTGTGGTTGTATCTGTTGTTGCTGTAGTATCTGCTGTAGTTGTATCTGTTGACTCTGATTTTTGTTGTTCTTCTTTTTTTTCTTCTTTATTTTCTTCTTTATTTTCTTCATTCTTTTCTTTTTCTAATCTTTCTTTTTCCAATCTTTCTTTTTCCAATCTTTCTTTTTCTTGTTGTTGTTGCATTAATAATGGTTGTTTTTCATGGTGTAAGGAATCTACTACATCAGTAAAAAATACATCTAATAATAAATAATAAATTAGAGTTAATAAAATAATTTCTATATAATAGAAAATAAATAATAATAATTACATGGTGAAATTTGAATTAAATTTTTAGATTTTTTCCAAACATCTGATCTATCATCTACAATTAATACCATAGAGTCATCACATGGAAACAGTCTTTGTAAAGTTTTAAAGTTTATTCCGTTACCGTCATCTCTTGATAAAATTCTTTCTTTAAACAATGTTTGATCTGGATCGATTAATTTTGCAATTTCATTTGCATAGTTTCTAGTACCCATTGTATAAATATGTAGTTCAAAGTTTTTATTTACATTTTCTAAAAAATCATTTAAATGTGGTCTAATATTATAAAATAAAATTTTAATTAGTATTATATACCTATAAAAATTTATAGCAATAATTATAATCAATTACCTTTTTTTTATACAATATGTCATTGGTCCATTAACAGTAATGTTATGTATATCATAATCTTTTCTATTTCTATTTTTCCAATTTGGTGATGAATTTAAACCTTGTTCTGTTACAGCATGAATTAAAGTATGATCTAAATCTAATACAAGTGATAGTTTTCTTTCTTTTATTAATCTTTTTGTATTAATATCTCCAATTCTTTGAGCTTCTTTATGTGATACTGTTAAATGTGAATGACCATGCAAAATTGATAATGATTCTGTTTGTTCTGTTAATTCTCTGCCACATGTAGCACATAAACCACTAAATTGAATTTCATGTGTACAATATTCAATTTCAATTAATCTATCCCTAATAATATTAAATAATAATATTGTTAATAAACAGTAATAAAATAATAATAGCTATATTTATAAATTTATGCATACCCTCTATTTAATTTATCTGTATTATTATTATTTACAATATAGTTTTTGACTACACCATCATAATCTGAAATTAACTTTAATTCAGATTCATTTTTATTTGATTTAAAAGTGCCAAGAATTGCACCTTTGTCGAATTTATCACCAGGTGTATATCTCCAACCTTCGATTTCACCAGTTTCCTCGAAAGGATATTCTATAATAGTCGTTATCATATATATTAACTATTTTATTAATATTATAATAATTATTATTACTTAATATTATTATTTATAATATATAAAATAAATATAAATATAATGAATAAAAATAAAAGATATTTATAATTTGATTGCTAAATGAAAAAAAGTAAAAATTTTTTTTTTTTTTTTTTCTTTTTTTTAAATTAAAAATTGAAATAAAAAAAAAAAAAATTTAAAAAAAATTAAAAAAAAAAAAATAAATAAATAAAAAAAAATATAAATAGATAAATATGGAAATTTATAAATATATTTATAAAACTGATTTTTCATTATTATTTTTCATAAAGCTATAAATTTTATTTTTATTTTATTATATAAGTTTTAAATAGTATACAGAAAAATATTTTTTATTATATTTTTTTTTTTTTTCGATAGACAGCGCCAATTATTTAAACATCCTTTTCAGATTCTATATTATTATTGTTATTATTGTTTTCTTCATCATTATTATTTTGTGGTTGTTCTTGTTGTTGTGTTGAATCCTCATTATTTGGATCATTTTGTTGTTGTGATGATTGTTCTTCTTGTTTTGATTTTTCATCCATATCACTTTCATCGGATGTGAAATGAGCTAATCTACTATTATAATTTATATTACTACTAGCTTGTGATTTTTTAATTTCTTCTTTAACATGCTCATCTTTTTCTTCTTTTTCTAATGATAATGAGAAGCTTGAACTCTTGGTGCTGGTGGCGAAAGTTTCGTTTAATGCTAAACCTTTGGTTGCCATCTTGTAGAATTTTGATCCAAATAAAATTGCTATACTTAATAAGGTGGCAAAGATTGAGCAAATACAGATTGTGGCAACTTGTGATGAAATAGATTGTGGTGAAATCATTAATGGAATAACAATGAATAAACAGAAGGTAATTAAATATACACTTGTTGAAATTGGTTTTGATTCGTTAAACTCTTCAATATCGACAGCTTTGATTTTGAATGAGATGAAACAGGCCAATAATAATTTGATACCATGGAATACTAATAAAATGTATAACATTGTATCACCGCCTTTATCGTTTGTACAAACATCGCTGTATTCATATTTGCTAAGTCCGTCAATGCCAGCACGTGGTTCTGATCTGATATTACCTAAACCAGTCCATAGGCCTAAGATTAAAATATCTACTGCTAAAATACCTGCAACCCATGGGTAAAGCTTCCAATTGGTAATTGTTCTCTTCTTTAATTTTGGATTATCGAATAATAACCAAATTCTCCAATTCTTTACCAATAAGTTACCTAAAAAGATTGTAAAGCCAACAGATAATAACCAAACTCTGGTACGACAAGTCTCTTTAGTTGGAGTTTGTGAAAATATAATACAAGCGCAGAAAATAACGATACAACCTAATAAAATTAATAAACAGAATGCAGGACTGGCTGATCTAATAATTTTAGCATGTCTGAATAACATTACCAAACCCATTGCTACAATACAGAATACTATTGAAATAGCTGATACAATTGTTACACCTAATTTTAATGAACTTGGGTAATCAACCTTTATAAATAATTTTAAAGTTAATATAGTTGTATTATTTTTTTTATCTAATATTTTTGTTATTAATGTTATTATTGTCTTATATTTATAAATATTATACTACTTACAAATTTGATTGGGATTGTATAAACACCATAATCTTGTACATTTCCATTTTTAATTAACTCCTTACTTGTTTTGAAATAAGTGTCATCTACACAATTACCATTTTCAATTGGTACTTCTAAATTTAAATATAATGGATCGCATCTGAATGGTTGGAAAGAGTCGTTTTTTAACTTTTCAATCATTTCAGATACTTTTAATTGAATTGAATCTTCAACTTTATAACTGTATTTATCCATAAACAATGATCCACCATCTGCAAAACTAGTAAAGTAACTATCGGCTGGTGTCCAGCTATCGTTATTAACTTGATTTGCATATTTTACAAATACATCGGTCCAATTGGTAATATAGCTTACACCAACATCAGCACCAAAAATTAAACTGTTTGGGAAACCGGTTTCACCAAGACCCATACTGCCATGATCGATTAAAGCTTGTTGAACGCTCATATCGTCTTGACTCATGCCAATATAGTCTGCACCATTTGAAATTAAAAATTCTGAAGCTTTGTATGCAACTTCTGGGTTTAACCAACTGCCAGTATAGATATTTACAAATTTGATACTTGAATTTGCGGCTCTTGCACCTAAATAGTATGAATTATCATTTGATACTGATAAAATATTTGGGCCTGGTGCAACGAAACCAACAACACCGGTTTTACTCATCAAGCCAGAGAAATAACCCATGGCATAATGTAAAACGTATGCATTAAAATTGAATACTGTAACTTTTTCTAAATATTCGGTTGGTCTAGCTCTACCCCTGATAAACCAATAAATGTCTGAATCTTTATATTTGGATGCATACTCGAAGCCTAATGATGTATGGATGGCTGATGAAATAATAATTAAATTTGCGTTCTGTCTAATTGAATCTTCGATAGCCCATTGTGCCAAACCAATTGATTGTTCCAAGTTTTTATAATATATAGACTCGATACCTAAAATTCTTTCGGTTCTGATACGTGCATCGTTCATCATAAAGTTGTAGCCCATATCGTTGAAATCACCGGATAACAACAACGATATTTTACATTTTCTTTCACTTTGGACAACACTGCATTTTAAACCAATAATTAAAAAAATAAATAAAATTAATTTTTTAATATCCATTTTTTTTTTTCACAGTTATTTTTAATAAAACAAAAATTATTAATATAATAATATTGGTATATCTTTAAATAACTTTTAAGATTATAATTTATCTATAAAACAAAAGAAAAAAAAGAAAAAAAGAAAAAAAAAAAAAGAAATTCAAATATTTTTTTAGTTTTTAAAAAATAAAATAAAATAAAAATGTTTTTTTTAGAATTTACACATAAAACACAACAAAAAATATTGCCAATCACTTTGCTGAAAAGAGAATCACATCTGTGTGATTTCATCCGTTTCTTTCAGTTAATAAGGGGACCAATAATGACTGATTGTATCTAATTTTGCTGAAATTTGGCGTGCAAAAATTAGAAAAAAAAAAAATACAACATCTCAATACTATTTTAAAAATATACATACTGTGGGTGAAACTGGATAACCTATAATTTTTTTCATTCCAAACGAGTAATTATCTTATTGGCCAGCATTTTTTGGTATTCACCCCATTAATAAATATCCTTCTATAACCAAATATTGGTTTGTATTTTGAAAAATTTAATGAAAAAAAAAAAATTTTAAAAAAATAAAATTAATTTTTAATTTAAAAAAAAAAAACTTTTTACGATAAAATCAATATGCACACGACTATTTTTTTTTTTTTTGAATGATTACTCGTTAGTCAAGATACCTAAATCTAATGATTTGGGCAAATTAAATAGAGAGACGCGTTGTATTATATAGAAAACCCTCCGTTCACATAATTTATTTTTTTTTAATTAAAATTTTTTTTTTTTTTTTTTTTTGAAGTCTATTATAATAATAGATTTAATCAAAACTGTTTATTTTATTTTTTTTTTTTTTTATTTTATTTTATTTTTATTTTTTTTTTAAAAAAAAACCAAAAAAAAACCAAAAAGAAAAAAAAAAATGGAGTGGAGATTTTGATGTAAAAAAATAAATAATGGTAATTGAATACATATATATACATAGATTATTTTTCTATAAAACTTTTATTTTTTCTTTTATATATTTATTTATATAATTTATTTTAAATCTATAAACTATTTTTCCATTTTTCCATTTTTCCATTTTTTTTTGTTCTTTTTAAGAAAGGGGTTATTTATTTTTTTATTTTTTATTATTGATGGTTTTATTATTATTTTTATTATTATTTATTTATAATTATTACTATTATATTAACATATATTTTTTTTTAATACCAATATAACAAAAAACATTATTATTTAAAATTATTTAATTATAAACAATATTTGTTGTATTATATTATATTATTATATAAAGCAATTTTTGATATTTATAAATCTTCTTTAATTTCAGAAGATTGTGTTGGTTGTGAATCATGTAATTCTGGTTGTTGTTGTACAATTAAATTGGTATTTGATTTTTCTATATCAATATTTTCTTGTGGTCTTTCATTTTGTTTAGGAGATTCATCATCGTCACTGTCATCAGATGTGAAATAAGCTAATCTACTAACATGGTTTCCACTAGTGGCTTGGTTACTGCTTGCTTGGGATTTTTTAATTTCTTCTTTAACATGCTCATCTTTTTCTTCTTTTTCTAATGATAATGAGAAGCTTGAACTCTTGGTGCTGGTGGCGAAAGTTTCGTTTAATGCTAAACCTTTGGTTGCCATCTTGTAGAATTTTGATCCAAATAAAATTACAATACTTAATAAAGTAACAAAGATTGAACAAACGCAAATAATTGTAGTTTGTGATGAAATAGATTGTGGTGAAATCATTAATGGAATAACAATGAATAAACAGAAGGTAATTAAATATACACTTGTTGAAATTGGTTTTGATTCGTTAAATTCATCGATATCAACAGCTTTGATTTTGAATGAGATGAAACAGGCCATCAATAAGTTCAAACCGTGGAATACTAATAAAATGTATAACATTGTATCACCGCTTTTATCGTTTGTACAAACATCGCTGTATTCATATTTGCTAAGTCCGTCAATGCCAGCACGTGGTTCTGATCTGATGTTACCTAAACCAGTCCATAAGCCTAAGATTAAAATATCGATTGCTAAAATACCTGCAACCCATGGGTAAAGTTTCCAATTGGTAATAGCTCTCTTCTTTAATTTTGGATTATCGAATAATAACCAAATTCTCCAATTCTTTACCAACAAGTTACCTAAAAAGATTGTAAAGCCGATAGATAATAACCAAACTCTGGTACGACAGGTCTCTTTAGTTGGGGTTTGTGAAAATATAATACAAGCGCAGAAAATAACAATACAACCTAATAAAATTAATAAACAGAATGCAGGACTGGCTGATCTAATAATTTTAGCATGTCTGAATAACATTACTAAACCCATTGCAACAATACAGAATGCTATTGAAATAGCTGATACAATTGTTACACCTAATTTTAATGAACTTGGGTAATCAACCTTTATAAATAATTTTAAGGTTAATATATAATTATACTATTTTATTATATAAATATTAAAACTACTTACAAATTTGATTGGGATTGTATAAACACCATAATCTTGAACTTCAGAATTTTGAATTAATATTTTACTTGTTTTGAAATAAGTGTCATTTACACAATTACCGTTTTCAATTGGTACTTCTAAATTTAAATATAATGGATCGCATCTGAATGGTTGGTAAGAGTCGTTTTTTAACTTTTCAATCATTTCAGATACTTTTAATTGAATTGAATCTTCGACTTTATAACTGTATTTATCCATAAATAATGATCCACCATCTGCAAAACTAGTAGAGTATATTTCTGGTTGCCAAGTGCCATCTACAACACGGGTTGCATATTTTACAAATACATCGGTCCAATTGGTAATGTAACTTAAACCTACATCAGCACCATAAACTAAACTATTTGGGTAACCAGTTGCACCAAGACCCATACTGCCATGATCTATTAAAGCATGTTGAACGCTCATATCGTCTTGACTCATGCCAATATAGTCTGCACCATTTGAAATTAAAAATTCTGAAGCTTTGTATGCAACTTCTGGGTTCAACCAACTGCCAGTATAGATATTTACAAATTTGATACTTGAATTTGCGGCTCTTGCACCTAAATAGTATGAATTGTCAGTTGATACTGTTTGAACTTGAGGTCCTGGTGCAACGAAACCAACAACACCAGTTTTACTCATTAAACCAGAGAAATAACCCAAAGCATAATGTAAAACATAACTGTTGAAACTGAAAACTGTAACTTTATCTAAACCATCTTCTGCGGGTCTTGATCTTCCTCTAATAAACCAATAGATATCTCTGTCTTGGTATTTCTTTGCATATTCGAAACCTAACGATGTGTGGATTGATGAGGACACTATAATGAAATTTGCATTTTGGTTATTAACTGAATCCTCAATGGCCCATCTTGCTAAATCTAATGACTCTTCTAAATGTACATAATAAATCGAATCTACACCTAAAATTCTTTCGGTTCTGATACGTGCATCGTTCATCATAAAGTTGTAGCCCATATCGTTAAAATCACCTGACAATAACAATGATATTTTACATTTCTTATTGGCTTGTGAGTTTATTATATTTATAAAAAATAATAAAAATACAACAACAAATATAAATAGTTTTTTCATTTTAAATTTATTTATAAATAAATTTATTTATAAATTAAATCACAAAAATTATTTTGATTTTTTTATTTTGATTTTTTTTTGAAATATTTTTTATTCAAATTTTATTGGTGGTTATATATTTATGATTTTATTATAAATGTTATTTTTTAAAGTAAAAATAAATCCATTAAAAAAAATAAAAAAATAAAAGATTTAATTTTTTGAGGGTTCATTAAAAAAAATAAAAAATATTAAAAAAAAAAAAAAGATAATTATCTTTTTTTTCAAACACAAACCAATAAGAAATGCAGGTTTATGCCTAATTTTCAATTTTTAATGTGCACATAAAAAAAACCGAACAAAATCTCGCAAGACGATGATTTAAATAATTATTATAAAAAAATCAAAAAAAAAAAAATATATTTCGAAATTTTGAAAAAAAAAAAATTTACCCACTCACTCATAGTTCAATCCATCATATTTTTTTCTCTGTCTTAACCAAGACCCAAAACTAAATATCTTTTTCTATGTTGTTTTCATACTTTTTTTTTTTTATGTTGTTTGTCGTCTGTTGCAAGTTTGTATGATCACTATTTTTTATTATGTGCGCTAAAATTTTTTAAAAAAATTAAAAGAATTTTTTGATTGGTTTTTTTTATTTTTTTATTTTTTTTTCACTTTTTTTTTTATTTTTTTTTTTTTATCGTTTTATAGCCATTAATGATGGGTCCTATTTTTTAAATAAAAATATTCATATTAAAGTTTTTTTATTAAAATAATAAAAAAATATATGAAAAGACTCTAAATTTCTATAGGTATAAGCTAATTTTATTAATTCTGTATTATAATAATAATACAAATATAGATTAAAGATTTGTAGAAAAAAGCCACTTTTAAATATTTATATTATCAAAATTATTTTTTATTTGATAGAATATTGATTCAGCGGTTTTTTAAAGGAAAGGAAAGAGAAAACTCCATTTTTTTAAAAAAAAAAAAAAAAAAAAAAAAAAGTCAAAATTAGAAAAAATTAACAATATGATGAAATTATTTTGCAAGGTAATTATTTTGTACCATGTATGTCTACGTACGCGTTTAAATTGTAGCATCAAATGAATGTTGGGATTGGAATATCAAATTTATTTTTTTTATTTTTTTTACTATTTTTTTTTTTTTTTTTTTATAAATAGTCAAAATAATTTTTTTTATTTTTACTTTCAAATTATTTATTTTCCTCCCATCCCTATTCCATTAGTTTATATAACATTACATTTTAATAAACTGTATTATTACTCTGTTTGTAAAATTTTCTTTCTGTAATAATCATTAAATCAATCAACAGCATAACACCCCAAAAAATAAAATGAGATTTATCTTTGCTTTATTTTTAATCATTTTTGCATTTGCATCAGCACATGCCGATAGTTGTCCATCAGACCCATTCCTCCCAGTTGCACCAGTAGGTTATGAAGTATATTATTATTTATATATATAATATAAATAAAAAAAATAAATAAAAATTTTAACTTTTTTTTTATTTTTTATTTTATTTAAATAGTCAGATTTAGTTCAAGCTAAAGACTTATCTGCTGAAGACCTTTTATTCCACGAAAAGTATATGAAAATTGCTTTAGATCGTGTTATTGAAGTTAATGGTAAATTTGGTGCAGCAATCGTTCATAAAAATGGTACTTTGATGTGTGTTTCTGTTAACCAAGGTTCAGTTTCTCGTATTTACCATGGTGAAATCGCAGCAATTATTAACTGTACAAATATCTTTGCATCAAAAGGTATTGTCCAACCAACCTGGGAAGATTATTACATTTACACTACTGGTGAAGTATGTGGTTTATTTATTTTATTATGTTTTTTTTTATATTCATTATACTAATAGTAACCATTAATTTATAATCAGCCATGCCCAATGTGTTCAGCTGCTATCATGTGGTCTAAATTTGATAAAGTTATCTTTGGTTCTTATGTTTCAAATATGTATTGTGAACGTTGTTTCAACCAACTCCCAATGGCTGCAAATAATATTATGAACCTTGGTTATGGTATTGGTCATAATACTCAATTAATTG